TCGATGGGGCTCTCCTGTGAATAAGAGGAGAACCAAAGCAGCCACGAGTGCTTCACAGCCACTGAATGCCCGTGGGACCTCAGGTTGCTGGAAACTTGAAATAGTTTGGAGCTTTTCTTTTGTATGTGTGTTGGTGCTCCTGCTTCCTTCTGGCCCCAGGCTTTGTGAACGACCCCGAAGTTAATGCGGGATTCTGTGGAATTTCAAACATGCATGTTTACTTTCAGGAACCAAACTTTAGTCTTCACCAGCTTGCTTTCGTCTAAACCAGCTCAATTTCCCATATTTCACTGGCCAGGGATGGTTTGTGGGGAGTGTTTCCTTTGTGTGCTTACCCTGTAAGGCCTCTTGGGAACTTCAGAGACTGGTGTATTTAAAAACTTGGCAATAACACTGCATATGTGGTCTGTTTATATAATGATAAAGCTGTGTTAGAGCATTAGAAATTTCCTAGTGGTACCAAGTCACTTTACATCTCAGTTTTACTCTAGCTTGTAAAAGTACCCCCCAGCCTGAAGAGCACTGGGTCTGGCAGAGGCAATACTAAACTTTGCATAGCAGCCAGAGAATAAGGTATCTTTTTAGTCCAGAATGGCAATATCAAGGTAAGTTTTAATGATTCTTAGCTCTGCAGGGAGGGTGTCCCTGGCCAGTGGGTGGAGATGAGTTCTTCTCTCCTACCTTCCACCAGTGAGCCTTGGTGGTGAACAAGACTTACTCTGAAAATCAGTGTGGGGGACAATGTACTGCTGGACCAAAAAACACCCTGATGTGCAGGTAAGACTGAACGTAATAGTCATTGTGGGGATGTGACAATTACCTCCAGATCCCAAGCACTGCAAACCCCTCTTAGGCTTAACATGCTTTGATTTAATTATTACTAAACCTTAGAAGAAAAAAAAACCCAAACCCGTTCATGTGTCTAAACCTGCTGTTTCATAGAGTGTCCTGCAGTATGTGTGCTGTTCAGGTTATATCCTGCAGCCAGATTAGATTAAAATAATTTCAGAGAGGGGTATTTATTTATTTATTCCCACCTAAAGATGTTTTTTCTCTAGGAATGAACTTTACCTTCTTATATATATTTACAGGACAAAGTTGGTTATGCTGTGTTTGGTAGTACGTAGAACCAGTTTGAAATACAATTTAAAGACTTTAAAGGTGAGGGTTTTACAGCTGCCCTCCATTGTTGGGTGCCAGATTCTGCTGGTCATCTTGGTCTCCAGTTTGCAGCCGACTGATTTAGATGAAAGTGTCACTGAGCCTGGTAAGGTGGAAAAACCCCTCTGTTCCTGATTGCTCCATGTCCATTTCAGTTCCCCCAGTAACCCACCACCCAGCAGCCCCATGGGGAGCTTTGCAGGTGCTGGTGCCCACCCAAGTTGCTGCCACAGAGCCAAGCCTGCTGGTGAGAAGTCTTGACGAGCCAAGTTCAGTTTATCTCCTGCTCTGGACTAATTAGAAGCAAGAAAGCAGAGTGCAGGAGGGGCTGATGTGCCCAGCTGCCTTTGTGTCAGGACGCTGCACTGCCGACCTGAGACCCTGCAGAACAACAGCCATTAATTAATGCTCACCCTGCTCCCAAATACAGTCTGCAGGGGGGATTTCAGCTTGTTTTAGCTGGGGAGTGTGTTGGAGTTGCCTGCACTCACTCATGCTGAAAAAGAGTCAGGTCAGAAAGTAATAGTCAGGTGCTGAGTATCTCAAAGGGAATACATGTTAATTTATTCTAGCAAGAAAATGAACAGGCTTGTTTGAAAAGATACTTCAAATGCATTTATTTTCAAATACTGAAGTCTCGATTTTGAAAAAGAATTCATTTCATAGAGAACAAAAATGGGAGCAGGATTTTAATTATAATATGGAATTCAACAATGGAGTTACAGTCAGCACTTCTGTATAAGTCCAAATTTATTGTTTTTTAATGCTTAGCAGTGACCTAGGTGGCATCAATTTGGTTATTGCAAGTCAAACTAAAAGAATTATTTTCTGCTTCTACTTAAAATTATTTTTGTAAGTCCAATATTTCCTTTAGAATTATTATTGCCACCCCAGTCTTTTATAAACTTTTGGCATTGCCTAAAATGATTATCTGCCTGCGGGAACAACTTGCCTTTATAGCCCTCTCTACAACATTACTCTGTTCCAGGAGCTAAAGCTTCTGTAAATACGTGATTTGACCTTCAAGGAAATACTTGTGTCTTATCACAGCAGCCTGGCTATTCCAAGCTGAATGCTGTGACCACTCTTAATCACTTGTTCCCTCTCCTGATGTGCCATTATCCTGTTTATTGCTGTGTGCATGGCGCTGAGCCTCTCTGTGGCACTTCAGCAAGAGGCTTTCTCAGAGAGTCACGTTGTTCAGCCTGGAATGAGTGCTAATGACAGGCCAGGTGAGCAAACCCTCAGCATATCTTGCTGTCAGAATTGCTCCTTGTTCAGTCCAAGAGCACGTTGAGCTCAGTGCTGCTGTGCAAAGCACTTTTCTCTCTTGCAGGGCTCCACACAAACTTGCCGTCGGTTAAGTAACGTTAAAAAGTAAAAGGTAGATGCGTAGGTGAATATGGAAATGGTGTGATCTGATGGTTTTCTGACTGCAGTGAAGGCTCTTAATTTTGTTTGTCTGCTTTTCACAGCAAAATAGGTCTTGTTTTCGCCAGTCTTCTGAAGTTGATGAAATGAGGAAAAAAGGAAAATACAATTACTGTTTTTCTTGCTGACTGTGGGTGTTTCTGTTGCTTACTCAGGTAAAGCTCTGGCAACTCACTGTGGTTTCATCTTCTGATTAAAAGGAGCTGGATTCTTGTTTTGTCATTTTGGTTTTGCTGGGCATAATGTGGGGCAAGAAACTGGTGCCCACAGGCTCTTTGCAAAGTTTCACCGAACACTGCATACCTATAGTCATGAATTAATCTCATCCGTAAAAGTCAATCAACTTTTCAATTCCTAAAGCAATTCCTTTAAGTTGTGGATGTGACAGGTCATCAGTCATGGTTTCTGAACACCTGAAAGACTCCAGGAGCTCCACCTCCTACAGAGGGTGAGAAGAAAACTCAGGTTTAAATTGATTTTACAGGGTTTCACAACTACATATCCTGGACCTCTGGTATTGTGGATTGTTACTGTCTTACTCGGGATGAAATGGAGGAGGAGTAAACTTGTTTTGTTGGTGGTTGCACTGTGGGCCCAGCAGCTTGATGAGGTCGTGTGATGGTTTCCCATGGCACTGCATCGTGGTTGCTCTGAGCAGGTAGGGTGAATGGGCAGGAGCGTGGAGTTGTCAGCCTGACATTCAGTGCCCAAAACTATTTTTAATTGTTAGCCACAGTGACACCAAACAGGCTCCCTCAGCAACGCTCACTTGGCTTTTGAGGGTACTCACATGGTGACGGTGCAGAAGTTTTCATAAATTAATATTTGTATGAAATTTGTTGGCTGTTGGTTTAATCGGCCCCTGCATGTTGAGCAGTGGAGACGCATACAAACATGGAGCTAACGAATTCTCCATGGTAATTGCAGTGCTGCAGAAAAGCTTTTAAGTCCACTCCATTTGCTGTATTGCTGCAGGTATTCCTTAGGTGGGCTGACTCGTGTCGGGGGTCCGAGGTTAGATTTCAGATTAAAATCTTTAAAACATCCCTGGGGAGAAATGGGCCTTTGGAGCTTTTGGAGCATGAAGGCTGTGGGGCTCCCCAGGGCGTGGTTGGGGTTACCACGTTGGGTGTCATCCAGAGTGTTCCTGCACATCACTCGTGCAGCCCTTAGCAGCACGAGTCAGTGGCTCTTTCAGCAGTGGCCTCTGTGGGGGTTCTGCAGCCGTGGCTTCTCCTGTCGGTCTCCAGCTTTCTGCTTCACCTCTCTGGATCTTTGAATGCCTGCCTAGTCGCTTTAATTGGGGTTTGTGAAGCAATGACTGAAGTTAAATCAGCCTGTTCACTTTCAAAGCCTTCAACTCTTTCTGTGTTTCAGGGGGTCATATAGCAAACCCCAAGGCCTTTCTAGCTGCTTCTCAGCTGTTCTGGCTAAAGCACTGCCTGTATAGTTGCACTGATGCTGCTGGAGATCTGGGCACAAAGGAGAAGTCAACTGATTTCTCCAGCTTGGCTTGGCCAGCCCGTTTCTCAGAGCTTTCTGAGGTGTTTGTGGCAGGGCCTGGTTTGAGCAGGGGCTTGGACCAAGTGGCCTCTTGAGACCTTATTCTGACTCAAATTTCTTTCTGTAATCCTGGTAATGCTGGGAGACCTTGACCCCGAGTTAGCTTTGTTGCTGGGAACCCCCGTTTGTATGCCAACGGTGGGATTTGAGGGTAACTGTGCAGTGTTTATATATAAAGAGCTTTAGTGCTCTGTGCATTTATTTGGAGGTTTGATTTCCTAAGTGCTGGACGTGTACAGTGGAGCTCTGCAGCTCCTTTGTGCAGAAGGCACGACTTGCCGTTTGTCTAAGCCAGAGCCACGCAGGGTAGTGAGTCTCCTCTGACACGAGGGAAGTTGTAGCCATTCATCTTTCAGCCTAATGGACCACAGAAATTACAAGCTGTAGCATGCAGCTTCATCTTGCCACGAGGCAGAGTGCTGCATACTTTGCCTTCAATTTATGCATGCCGTGCCTTTTTTTATTAAATGCAAAAAAGAAATCCATGACAGGATTTCTCCAGAGGACTTGCTTTGGCTGTGCCTGCTAGATAGCCAGCACATTTCAATATATAGTAAAATGAACGAGGGCGGTTTCTTTACCATTCCTAACAACCACCTTTGAAATCTGAGGACAGAGCTATGGACTATCCTCTGTATGTCGAGCGAGGGCCAGTTGAGTTTTAACACTGCAGGTGACCCACTTCTTGAAGTATTTCTGCTGCCATTCTGAGATGCAGCGAGAGCCAGAGCAGCAGTTGTGCATCTGTGCTTGGTCAGGCCTTCTCCCAGGGCTGGCTCTTTGCCGCTTTCTTTTCTCTGTTCCTCCTTGTATTATAACTTTGAATTGTCTCTCTGTTGTTGCAGTGTGCAGAGGAGTGAATGCCCCATGTTGTGTTAGTGCCTGTCTGCCATGCTGGCCTGTCTGCCAGGACCAGGTGACCTCTCCTTTCAGCTTCTTTCTTACACGCAGATGAACACTGGACTTCAGAAATGTGAGTGACGTTTTGTCTGCAGGATGTGGTTAACTGTTAAATCTGGCTCTGGTACAGCTGTGACATAAACATGTAGGATACGATAGAAAAACTGTTTAATGTTAGAGTCTTTCTTTTGTTTTGCCTTTAAGGCGTCCATCAATAATGGCTCTGAGAAATGGCCGTGGAGGTTCACGTGTGTGCAGCAAGCTCTCCCCCTTTCCTGGCTTTACAAAGGTTAATTTTAACCACAGCAAGACAAAACACAAGTGAGGTTTCTGTGAGATCTGTGCCACTTTGCCGAAAACATTTTGTGCTAAAAGTGTGCCAGCTGACTTGCTTCTGAACACGACTTTTTCCTGAGTCTTTTTCACTTCCATTCATTTAATTACTTGTAGACACCAATAAAAGTTGGATCAGACTAATGGAAACCTTTTGAGGTCAGCAGCTCTGTTGTTCCACATACCTGGGGCATATACTGCAAACATTAGTGATCTAGCCCAAATTACTAAAGTTCAAAGTTTCTGTCTTCTTTCTGATGTCTCTTTGGTGGCTCTGAAAATATGTCTGCAGAGTACTCTGAAGATTCTATTTTGATAACTTCAGTCATTTTTTTTGCTAGTTGTACTAGTATTTTTAAGAGCAACTAATGCTCAGGAATGTAAGTTTACTGCGTAGAGATTTTTTTTAAATCTTACTCTGTCTCTCACTAAAGTTGCACATTGATTGTTCAGCTGAAATTTCAGGAAGTCCAAGATTGATCTGTGTACTTGGTTCTTAGGGCTGTGACCTGCCTCTTGTATTTGAAATGTGCATTGGGAGATGTCCATACTCTGTTTACTGATGGACTCGTTGTTCTTTAAAACCAAGTAATTTACAGTCCAGTAGTAGCAAAATTGTTAGTATGTTAAGGCCTGTGATGCTGCTGAAAATAGGTAAGATAATTTTGCAATGAAGGGTGACATGCTCAAAGTCCTGGTTCTGCCAGAAGCAAATGACACTGCTCACGTACACACGTGGGATCCCAGCAGCACTTGCACAGCATTTATGCCGACTCCACAGGCGTCGTAATTGTAACAACACTTTCAGCCACAGTAAAAATCTGTACTTGCAAAAGGGCTTCCTTAGATGGCATGAAACTGGCCATTCCCCTCCTGTCTCTTTTCCATTTCCAGTTCAGGCTTTGCTGACTTGCTTTTTTCGAAAGGTAGGCGGCTCTGGTGAGAGGGTGCCAAGGTCCTTGGACTACATGAAGCTTCTGTGGTGGATCAGAAAGCTTAGTTCTGAAAGCAAATTGTTGAGGTTCGTGTGAGGGTAGCTGTGCATAAATCAGGTATTTGCTAATTACACATTTACAAGGCAACATGCTGGTACGTGGGCAGTTCCTTAACCTGATGGTACCTGATGCTGTTTCTGAGAACTGCTTATCCCCGTGCTGAAAGCGTTGCTGGGTCCTGCTTAGCAAAGAGCTCCAGGAGCTGCGTTTAGAAGAATTTAGGGCATAAAGTAGCTGGCAGGCACTGGCTGGCAGGGGTAATGCTCAGCTGTTCCAGTTTGCTCTGATTTATATGGAAAATGAAACTGCTCGTGCAGACCTCGCTCACCCCTGCTGCAGATGTGTGTAAGATTAATTGGTGCGTTTCTCTCCACACTGTATATGCACAAGTAGTCTAGCCCCTGGCCAAAGGAAAGCTGAGTTAATGAGCATTTTTAATGAACGGTGACTTGTGACTTTTGATGGGGGGTTGGAAGCACGCTTTAATAATAGTGCTGTTGCTTTTGTAAAAGGCACAGAACTCCCCATGATAGCTTTTATTCAGACTAACAGTGTTTGTATGAATAATTTTTTAAGTGTAGTTTTCTGGATCAGACTTCATTAATGCTTTCAAATCCACATTAGCTCAATTATGGTTTTTTTTTAACTTAGTTTCAAGTAAGAGTCTTTTTTTCTTAAAGGTGTTTAGTGCAGTAGGAGTTCTGTAGATAAATATGCACATATTTTTTCCAGGACTTCCAATTTCAGTATTATTCTTTGAATTCTAGCCTGCATCACAGGAAAGGCTAACCCTGAAATTTCTCCTTATCCACACAGATTTCTGAGTCCATATTGATATTCTCTCCTTCTTCCCAGTGACTCCAGTGTCTGCAGCAGTGCTGCCAGGGTTGGGAGAAAGAGGGGGATTTTTCGTGACAGTGGTGCAAAGTCAAAGTGAAAGGTGCTTCTTGAAGAAGACGACAAAAGGGACAAAAGAGAGAAGAGTGGGTTGGGACTGAATGTGGGGTCATCAGCTAAATCAGGTCCTTCCTAGGGGTGAGGGCTCTTATCTGTAAAGCCTGCAGAGACACAGCTGCAGTTGAGGTTTTTCTGCAGAAGATGGGCACATCTGTTTCTCTCTTGTCCCAGCGTGGATGCTCTCATTAGGGTAGGAGTCCTGAAGGCCTGTTGGTATTTTGTTTAATGTTAATGAAAATTTAACTGTGGGCAGTTTTAAAAGCAGTAGGGTTTTAAAGCCTTCATGTGAAATGCATTTAAAAGATGTTACAGTAGCACTGAGGTGAGGCAGAGAAATACATCTTGTTTTATGATAAAAATAGCTCCAGTGGTGAGACGTGCAGGAATGTGACCAGATGAATTGATTGCCATGGGATTAGCAGGAGTGTGAACTTGGAGCTCACCAATTTATTGGAACAATTCCTTCTATGCACAGCTTTACCTTACAGTAAACAGGAAATACTTCTCAACAGAAGTTGCATTTACCATTAGGTAGCTTTGTGGAGCTCATCTCATCATTTTCTTAATGTAACTCGTTCATCTGCCATCCACCTCATCCTTTTGTGGCCTGATCCAGAAGTCTTGCACTTGCACAAGAATAATGAGCATATTCTAATACCAGCTTTTTCTTTCAGTCTATTCTATCTGGTTTTCCATTCACTCAGTTCACAGACCTAATTGTTCTTTACGGGTTTGTAAGATATTCGTATGGGGTTTCCAGACTCTTGCTCTCCCTGTAATGCCTTTCTCCTAATCTTTTCCTGCCTTAATTGTTCCAGTCATCGAATCTTGCCTAGCAAAGCACATTTTAAGCAGCACATTGGGGCACTCAGAAATACATCACCTTCAGGCCTGAGCAGAATGACTGAGTGAAGGGAGCATAATCCTGGCTGTTTGCAAAACGGCCACTCTGGGAAGTGATGGTTTCTGAAAATCCCACCCAAGGGGTTTAGAAGGTGGTTTGTGATTTGACAGGGAGCCAAACTTGATGTTGGTGAGTCATTTAAGTTTAACTGAGGGTTATTTTCTCAGTTATTTTCTTTTTGGAGGAAGGAGTTCTTCCAGGTTGGGGATTGCAGATGTGTTGTAACTGATGGCTGCAGCCTGTTCGGATGTTGATATTTTAGCTGCTTTCTAGAGGCTTTCATCCCAGTTCCCATGTAACAGAAAGGTATATGCTTGGGCAAAAGAAGATTTAGTATATCTGTTTGGTATTTATAATTGCTGATATGCCTGTGGATATGTAAACCAGGCTGGGAGATTTTGATGACGTCTTCAAGGTGTCTTAATGCTTTTATTTTAGATGAAAAATTAAGTATATACTTTAAGTGACAGTGGCAATAAATGTAATGCAAACCATACTACAGACAGATGTGGGTTCCTTTGCCCTATTGGTGGTGGTTCTGGTTCACAGTGAAGTATAAGGGTCATCTCTTGGGGAAGACACTGATTTCATGAACGTGGGCAGTGCTAAAAACAAAGGTAGCTGACAAAGGCCTTGGCAAGGTAGTGTGGGGAGACACTGTTTGGAGGTTCTTCTCTCCATGAGGACTCACTCAGAAGAACAGATAGAAAGCACCTGCCTGCAGCACCAGAACAGGAAGGATGTTTGGGATCATGTCAAATGAGCCTTTCCTTTGATGAAGAGGAAGGATGGTGTGTGCCAGCATTTGGGCAGCACAGGGAGTAAGAGCAGAACTGCAGCTGTGGTACTTGCTGTGCAAGAGATGCAAGACAACCTGCTTGCAAAGCTTCTTACTTCACAAAAAATGTATTTTTTATTATTTCTATAATTACCCTTTCTTTTGGTATCCATCATATTTTCCATTTCTAACCCTTACTTTCTGAAGGTTAGTGTTTCTTAGAGCAGCACTGCTCTCCCTCACCTGGGAAGACTAGAAGCTGCAGGCTGCAAAGAGAGAGAGATGGCTGGTATTCATATATTCAGGGGTCTTTGGGAGGCAATTTGCTTAAGAGAATCAGAGGTGTATTTTCAAGAGGAGGGGCTGTTTGCCTGGGAGCATGAAGCTCTTTGGTGGAGCACTAGATTTCCTTGGGTCAGAGGGCTAGATGTGGGGCTGGGGCTCCAGAGGAGCTGGCTGCCGTGTTCCCCACTCAGCCCAGCAGCAGATGGCAAGGGGTGCTGAAAGTTTTACTGAAAGGAAGGGTGCTTCTTTTCCAGTAAACTGTTTGCAGGATGGGGGAAAAAAAATTAAGTAAAATTGGATTGTCAAAGCTGCAAGCCATTTTTTGAAGATTATAAAATCACTTCTAAGGCAGTAGTCCCATAGCAGTTAAGCAGCAGAGCTGTGTCAGGGGAACAGCCCAACTCTCTGCTTGGAATATGATTATAGTCAGAGAGGCACAAGCATTTCCCTAGACTTCTGGAGTTCTTTCCTGAAGCAGTTCGAGCTTGTGGGCAAGGTCAGTATCTGGTAAACAGATACTGGTAAATGACACCACTGTCTCCAGAAGTCTTCTGTCTGTGGTGGGAGGGTAGCATGTTTTCACTCCTGTGAGGTAATCAGGTAATTTTGCTGTGTGATGTGAAGATGCTGTCTTTAGCAAGGTGCCATGCTGAAAATTCAGCCAAAGAAATAATAGCAAGCTATGAAGTAATGGACATGTAGCTTCCTTCTGTTTGCTAAACTGGGATGGACAAGGGCTTTCTAATGGACCAGAGAACATTCAAAGTGCCTTCAAATGTCAGCATCTAAAAAAGAACCCGGAGGTAAATGGAGGCTTGAGCTGAAGTGCCTTGTGTGTGTGTTGGGCTTGCATGGCCAGGGTTTGGTAGCCGGGGGGCTACAGGTGTGGTTGGCTTCCGTGACAACCTGCTAGATGCTTCCCCCATGTCCAGTGGAGCCAATGCAGCCAGCTCAAATTGGACCTGCTGCTGGCCAAGGCTGAGGTGATAGCACCTCTGGGATAGCATATTGAAGAAGGGGAAAAAACCCTGCACAGCTGCAGCTGGAGAGAGGAGTGAGAATGTGAGACAGCTCTGCAGACATCAGGGTTAATGAAGAAGGAGCGGGAGGAGGTGCTCCAGGTGCTGGAGCAGAGGTTCCCCTGCAGCCTTTGGTGAAGACCACGGTGAGACGGGCTGTACCCTGCAGCCCACTGAGGCCCATGGTGGAGCAGGTACCCACTGGCAGTCTGTGGAGGACCCTATGCCAGAGCAGGAGGATGCTTGAAGGAAGCTGAGGTGTTGTGGGATGCCCATGGTGGAGTAGGCTTCTGGCAAGAACTCTGGCCCCATGGAGAGAGGAGCCCATGCTGGAGCAGGTTTGCTGGCAGGCCTTGTGACCCTGTGGGGGACCCATACTGGAGCAGTCTGTTCCTGAAGGACTACACCCTATGGAAAGAACCCACGATGGGGCAGTTTGTGAAGACCTGCAGCCCATGTTTAAAAGGGCTCATGGAGAAGTTCACTAAGGACTCTGCCATGGGAGGGACCCCACGCTGGAGCAGGGGAAGAATGTGAGGAGGAAGGAGCAGCAGAAACAATGTGTGATGAACTGACCACAAACCCCACTCCTTGTCTCCGTGTGCTGCTGGTGGGGAGGAGGCAGAAAAATGGGAGTGAAGCTGAGCCCGAGAAAAAGGAAGGATGGGGGCAAGTTGTGTTTAATATTTGGGTTTATTTCTCATTATCCTACTCCAATTTGGTAATAAACTAATTTTCTCCAAGTCAAGCCTGTTTTGCCTGTGGCAGTAATTGGTGAGTGATCTCTCCACATCCTTACCTTGATTCACGAACTTTTCATTGTTTTCTCTCCACTGTCCAGCTGAGGAGGGGAGTGACAGCAGCTCTGGTGGGCACCTGGCATCCAGCCAGGGTCAGCCCACCACTGTAAGGTTCCCACCTCAGCCTTAAACGGGTTTAATGTTTCATTCCTAACTTTCTTAGGCTGAATTACATTTTTAAAAATCTCAGTAAAAATACTGAGAATGACTCGAAGAGCCATGGGGAGGCTGTAAGGTTCCCACCTCAGCATTAAACAGGTTTAATGTTTCATTCATAACTTTCTTATGCTGAATTACGTTTTTAAAAATCTCAGTAAAAATAATGAGAATGACTCGAAGAGCCATGGGGAGGCAGCCTTAAAATAAGACAGCAGAAAACTAGCTCACCACTGCTGTAAGAAGGGCTGTAAGAAGTGTGTCAAGCTGGAGACAGTCAGGCATTGGTAGGCAGCCTTAAAATAAGACAGCAGAAAACTAGCTCACCACTGCTGTAAGAAGGGCTGTAAGAAGTGTGTCAAGCTGGAGACAGTTACATGTGTCCAGCACGTTACCTGGTTTGTTCATACTCTGATGAAAAAGTTGGTTTTGATTTTGCTCCTGTAGGCAGGTCGTGGCTTAAGCTGAACTGGGGGTTGTGTTGGCCACCAGGTAATAAAGGGAACGAGGTACCTGGTACACAGTCTGCTGCTCTGGGAAGATGAAGTTCTTGCCTCTCGATTCCTTGGAGATTTTCTAGCCTTGTTGTGCATCTGTCTCGCCCTGGGGTTGATCCCTTGCTTACCAGAATCGGTACTGACAAATTTCCTTTCTCCACAGGGGACACTACACAGAAAATGAGATCTGCACAGTATCCTACCCCAGCAGAATTGGATGCCTATGCTAAGAAGGTCGCCAACAATCCACTGACTATAAAAATTTTTCCGAACAGCGTCAAGGTTCCCCAGAGGAAACACATACGCCGTACTGTGAACGGACTCGATACTTCGGGCCAGAGGTACAGTCCCTACCCGTCTCAGGCCGCCACGAAAACGGGCCTCCTGGCCATAGTCAGATCCCCGGCCAAAGGAATCATCAAAGACTTTGACGGGAGCCGCGCGCGCCTGCTGCCGGAGGCGATGATGAACCCCCCTTCCACCCCCTACGTTGCACCTAGCACTTTAAGCCACCCCCAGGCGCTCGCTCGCCAGCAGGCTCTGCAGCACGCACAGGCTTTGCCGCACCCCCAGAGCATCCCGCAGCACCCTCAGGGTATACCCCAGCCACAAAGCTTACCCCACCCTCAGGGGATCCCGCAGCCCCCGGCGCTGCCGCACCCTCAGAACCTGCCGCAGCCGCAGGGCTTGCCGCATCCTCCGACCATGGCACACCAGACTCTGCAGCACCCCCAGAACCCTTTGCTGCAGCCGGGTTTACATGGGAGCAGAAAGATGCCGGATGCAGACGCGCCGCCGAATGTGACCGTGTCTACCTCAACCATTCCCCTCTCTATGGCTGCCACCCTGCAGCAGAACCAGCCACCCGACCTGAGCAGCATTGTGCACCAGATTAACCAGTTCTGCCAGGCCAGAGCTGGCATTAGCACTACCTCAGTGTGTGAGGGACAGATTGCAAACCCCAGCCCTATAAGTCGCAACCTGCTTATCAATGCAAGTACCAGGGTATCTACTCACAATGTCCCTACGCCCATGCCTTCCTGTGTAGTAAACCCTGTCGATCATGCTGCTGCTGCTATTCCTCCTGCCTCTGTTAACGTGCCCATGGTGAATATTAACAGGGTGCCGCCCGCCTACCAGAACGAAATCAAGTCGGTGGCGTGGAACCAGCACCAGCTCGCACATCTGCAGCAGATGTGTGGGGATGCTGCTGGGCCTGCTGGACTCGCAGGGAAGCACCCTCCGAGGGAGATGGCAGGGCAGAGTTTTGCCGGCAAAACTTCAAACTACCCTCAAGAACTGTGCATGGGCCAGTCGTTCAGCTTGAAGCCCCCCATCGAGAAGCCCACGCCTTCTCCGCCCGTGAACGGCTTGCAGGGACCCTTGCCATACACCAACGGGCACTATTTCCAGCCCATCTGGAATAACATTCTGCCCACGCCCAACAGCGACAGCTCCGGGTCCCAGGACCTCGCCATGCCTTTCCACGGGGGACAGCCGGCCGGAGCGCCGCTGGATTGTGCAGGAGGAACTCATTACAGAGCTGGAGCTGGCCCATCCAGCCAGAATAATGTGATGCAGACCATGGATTACCTAAGCGGGGACTTCCAGCAGTCCTGCTTCAGAGATCAGAGCATGGCCGTGCTGGGGAAAGTCCATCGGCCTCCCATGAACCGAGCACCTGAACCAACCGATAGTCGAAATCTTCATATTCAACACCCAGGGTATAGATAGGCTGCAGTCACTTTCACAGACAAAAATTATAGGTTTAGTCTTAATTTTAATTAATAAGCAAGGCGTTTTTAACTTGCAAACTTGTGTGATCATTATAGTACCCATTGGAAGAAGACACACTGTATAGCGAAAAGCTTTACTTACATGTTCCCCGTCTCCTTTGCGCATCAAATATTTAACATGCCTTTTATGTCAAAGAATTCCATTACACTACTTCACGCCGCAGCTGCTTCCTCGCCGCAGAATCCCCTTTGTGCAGCTTTTGCCTTCTGCTCCGTAGCTCCTCGCTGGACTGATGCTGAGTTGCTGCAGGGTTTCGCAGTCGCATCTGTTCGCCGGCTCCGTCAAGAGCGAGGTAGCGTAGCTGCTTACATTTCCATCTCAATTTCCTCTGAAGATTAAGAGCAACAGAATTTGTCAGGAAGCGGGGCTTATTTTTGACTCGAAAGCCCATTTCATTAATGCATTAAACATTGACCATTTGCACTGTCTAGAGGCCTGTTTAATTGAAAAAGAAGCCTCAGTTTGGAAGGACCTAGCCAGGGGTCTGTATTTAGGCGTTACGATGGGGAGAAGCTTTTCAGCCATTTCTTGCCGAGACGCCTGCGTTTATCATTTAGACTGTGTCCAAAGTCGGGAGTCTCTGGCAGGTTTTTCTGACGCCCTTTTCTTTTTGCAGACAGGGTATGGAGGAGAGGGGAATGGCGTTTTTAGGACGTAGGCAGCG